TGTCCTCGGGCGTATCGGAGCAGAGCTGTTTCTCATTGATGTTGATCACAATGTAACTGCTGACACTACGAGCCGCACAGGAGATCTCGACAAGAAACGGTTCGTAGTGGCTGGCCGAGGGATCGTCCAGGCAGGGTGTGACCTTCGCATCGGACGACGGCACAAAGCTGGCAGTGCTCAGGCCATTGAGCGTCATCTCTGGAAAGACTATGATGTCTACGCCGCTGGCATTCGGCGAGTGGATCAGCTCCAAGTAGCCGGCCAAATTGTCGGCCAGATTCGCATGGGCATCGTGCCCATTGGCATGACGGAACTCAACCACGCCGGCCGTATAGAAACTCTCGCTGGCCGATTCACCGATCGACGCCTGCGAATAGCCAACTTACGATTAGCCGCTAACGCTTATCGGGGCTGCTAACCCACCTGCTGACTCAGCCGGACTCCAACAGCCAACAGCAGCAGCAGCAGCGCTCTGCTAGCGCTAGTCACATTCTCGGGCATTTGGATGTGCTGTTGCTGCGTGGCGCATCGGCAAACGTTCAACTGGGATACAGTCGGCGGTACGGAAACTCTTTTATAGCCAAGTCCAAAACCAACAAAATCATCTATCTAATCAGCACTAGCTACAATTTGCACTACATTTTTCCATCGGGTTCATATAGGTCGTTGGTGTAGATGGAAAGCTCTTTTCCTTACGAGATGTCCAGATGCCACAGATCTCAGTACATGCCGAAAATATATGTGGAATGCTGATATAGCATGGGATAACATTGTCTCACAAATATCTCAAAGTTCATCTTAAGAGTCAGGAGTGATCTAAAAGGGTATTTCAAGTTCGGCTCGACATCGTCTGGTAGTTTGATTTCGCACGCCTTTCGATTTTGCACGCGACAAAAATGTCAATAATTATTATTTTTTTTTTTTTTTTTTGGTTGATCGCTGGCCCGTGCACAGTGTTGCCCAGAAGTACGCAAATAGCACAAGTTATTAGATCTATCTAGGAAGCCGATGAGCGAGATATATCTCTCTGGAGATATCTCAGTTAAGCTTCACACTTCTAATTATAGAGCATCAACAAATTCTTGTGTAAATCAAATTTTTATAGTATCACCCTATTAATTCTTTTCATGCGTATAGCGAATGCATAATTTGATAACTCAGCTATTTTTTCGGCGCTTGTACATTGGACAGCTGAGCAAACTATTTAAGCAACGATTTCGATTGGCTTTACCCATATATACATATATATGTTGGTGTGTCAGCTATCAGGCTACAGTCCAATTATCCGATATAATGGATTTATGATCGTTACGGCTGTCGATACTCTCTCTTATCTAAGTTTTTGTTGTTCTTTTTTTATAGATGTCTATTAAGCGTTCTTATCAGTCATGCCCTCTAGGGTAGGGTTGGACCATTGAAACTATTCGACTGCAGTTGTTACAACTCCGAAATTTTGATGTTTCTATGGTGCTGGAATAATATGCTAATTGTTTTTAGATAAATGATAGAACAATATATCATGTTATATAAATAACGTACATATATTTACAGGGTATTACCAAGGCGATCAATCACCTCAGAAGAGCTGACTCATAAGAGAGGGCAGACTCACTCTTTCTCCCTTTCTAATTCACACGCTCTCTCTCTCTCTCTCTTTCTCTCTCGCTCTTTCTCGTTCTTTGCTATATTCGTGTTACAGATATTAGAATTGCATACTTTTAGACATATCATCTAAAACTTGTCTCCTATAGCTTGTTCGATCCATAGTGTGCATCACTTATAACCAAAGAAAAATCAAAAATTTAAGGCAAGGCTGAATAACAAGTTTTCTCTTTATTGCTACAAGTCTGCACACGCCTTTCGAGGCACGCTTTACTTGCTAAGATGGTATATGAAACCCACAGCCAAAAGCAAATGGAGCCACGTGCCAAAGAAACGCAGTTGGGCAGCGCCATCGCCAGTGGGCTCATAGCCACATTCAAGATCCTTCTCCGGTGAGCCCGAGCCATAGGTACAGACTTCATCGTAGTAATTTCCGAATATAGCAAAGGACAACAGGTTGGACAACGACTCGGTTTTAGCCAGTGCAAAACGAACACTCAACATATGACTGGAAAGAAGATCAAGTAAGGATTCAGTATACTAAAGCTCCCACAAGAAAGTGAGCTGGACTCACCTCTTTTCCTCCTCCTCCACAGACCACTCGAACTGCGATGGCTCGAGGGGCAATAGATTATCCCTCACACTGTTTGGCATCAGCAGAATCTCTTGACTCTTTGGATACTTGGCCTCAATAAGTATTCGACTTAAATTAAAGCGTAGTTGATCTGGGCTCAACATGTATCCACAATCGTCCAGAGTAACTCCGTTGCAGGCGAAGATTCCGCAGTTGCGAATATAATTGGGATCTACATTTGGTTCATTTCGCCAGCCGTCGTAGGCACCTAAGCGATAGCCAAATATCTTCGTATTGCCTATTTCCATATTCAATAATGGGTTCCACTCTAGCTCAAAGTGGCAACACAGCTTTCCTTGGCAAACATTGGCTGTAGCATTTCCGGCGTACTCAAGACTCATCCACGTGGTTGTGTACTGCTCAATATAGTCCCGAGTCATCACGAATCCTGAGCTGGTTGTCTGGGTCTTCTGTTCTGGCGTGGGCTGTCGTACATGTTTCCGAATCTGACTAACGGTTCGATGCTGTCGCCTCTGCTCTGTTCTCTTGTACTTGGGGACCTGGGCCACGTAGATGCGGCGTTCGTTTTCATTGAGTTTTATTACGCTCGTGAGAGTTCCCTTTCTTCCATTGTAGATTCCTGAACCGGTGCTGCCGTACTCTATGCGACTGGCACCAGCTGCCAAGAGATTCACGTCATTACCATAAGCCCAGCCCAGCTGCACCTGGACAGCTAAAAAGTATGGATAACGTAGAGCAAATGAAATAGAGATTAAGACCATAATAACATAAGGAGGCTCTACAATTTTGAGAGTATCTGATCATACTAACCCGTGTAAAAAGGCAGCTGCGAGTGCCATTTAGTTGGGTACACAAAGTCCCGAACGCCATGCTTCACGACCAACTCAACGCTTGGAACATAGAATGCGATATCAAAGCAAATGAAATGCCCGAAGGTCACATTGAAGTCGGTGTCAAAGGTGACGA